GGTAACAGACCGCTGCGCGCGCAAGCATGCGCGGGCTAGCGCGGCCGACGAGATGCACCAGCCAACACCAAGCACTCATCGTAATCGCCGCCGCAGGGGTTTTGCGAACCCTGTTGCGGGTGGGTGGGTGGGATCATTGCGCGAGCAATGGAGTTGACAAATTGAAGATCGGCATGGTGAGTGCTCCTTTGTAAAAACATAATAGACTCTACCCCCCCCCCCGGCGTTATCCGCCCCCCTTTCGGGTATTTAAATCATATTTGATTCTGACCACATGTCCATCATAAATTGAATTTACACTATCCCAGGGGGGCCGGTATCGGCCCCCCTGAGGTTCTCTTGCAAAGAGAAATGCGCGGGGACATGTTTGATTCTAACATAAGACTTTTCCATGAATCCCTTGCAACAAATAGAACGAAGTGCAGACGCGCGCGTCGTCGCGCGCGCGTGCCGAAATCCTTCAAAAACCTTTGGTGTCGGAAGGATTTCGCAATCGAGTTTCCAAAACACATACAAAAAACCAAAGGGTTTCGCAACACTGATTTGCTAAAACAACTTCCGCGCGAGCTCTTGCGAAATCTTAACAAAACTACGGGTTTTTCAATATTTTCACAACATGCTACCAAACGGGCGTCGCGCGCGCGTGTCGAAATCTGTCGAACACCCTTGCGCGTGTGTCGTCGCGAGAATCCTCGGCAAAAACTGCGACGAAATGCAGACGCGCGCGTCGTCGCGCGCGTATGCCGAAATCCTTCAAAAGCCATCGGTTTCGGAAGGATTTCAAAATCGTGTCAACAAAAAACCTACAAAAACACAAGGTTTCGCAACACGGATTTTCAACAAAAGCGTGCGCGCGCGCTCTTGCGTCGTCGTCGTCGTCGTCGTCGCCGACCTCCCTCCTCCCGCGTCGTCGTCGTCGTCGCCTACGTCGTCCCCTGTCTTTCCTCGTGTTCGTCGTCGTCCTCTTTGGCGTCGTGGTCGTTTCCGTCGTCGTTGTCGCCGTGGTCGTCCTTCCTCCTCCTCCTCCCTCGTCGTCGTCGTCGTCGTCCGTCGTCGGCGTCTCGTCGTCGTCCCTCCTACTTCGTCGCCGTCGCCGTCGTCGTCGTCGTTGTCGTCGTCTTCCCTCCTCCCTCGTCGTTGTCGTCGTCGGCATCGCCGTCCTTCCTCCTTCTTCGTCGTTCGCGTCGTCGCCGTCTTCCCTCCTCCCTCGTCGTTGTCGTCGTTGTCGTCGTTGTCGCCGTCGTCGTCCTCCCTCCTCCCTCATCGTCGTCTTCGTTGGCGACGTCGTCGTCGTCTTCGTCGTCGTCGTCGTTGGCGTCAGCGTCGGCGTCGTCGTCGTCTTCGTCGTCGTCGGCGTCGTCGTCGTCGTCGCCGCCATCGTCATCGTCGTCGTCGTTGTCATCGTCGTCGTCGTCGTCGGCGTCGGCGTCGTTGACGTCGTCGTCGTCGGTGTCGTCGTTGTCGTCGTCGTCGGCATCGTCATCGTCGTCGTCGTTGTCATCGTCGTCGTCGTCGTCGGCGTCGGCGTCGTCGTCGTCGGCGTCGGTGTCGTCGTCGTCGTGGTCGCTGTCGTCGTCGAAGTCGTTGGAGACGTCGTCGGTGTCGTCGTAGTCGTTGTCGGCGGCGTCGTCGTCCTCGTTGTCGCTGTCGTCGTCGGCGTCGCTGTCGCTGCCAAGTGCCATTTGGTACCCACCGTCACGGTCTTAAGAGATTTTGCAAACCAAGTTGCGGGTGGGTGGGTGGGATGTTTGCGCGAGCAGTGGAGTGGACAACTCTGTGCGAACAGGAATTAATGTCCTTTTTGAAAAGAGAATAGACTCTACCCCCCGGAGCTATCGCTACCCATTCCGGGTATGTAAATCACATCTGATTATGACCGCATGTCCATCCTAAATATGAAATCACAATGTCCCAGGCCAACCGGTATCCCCCCCTGATGCTCCCTTGTTTAAAAACACTCTGCGGTGACATTTGTTGTTCCAACATAACACTTGTTCGCGAATCCCTTGCAAAAAACGGGACGAAGTGCACACGCGCGCGTCGTCGCGCGCGCATGCCGAAATCCTTCAAGAAACTTCGGTGCCGGAAGGATTTCGCAATCGAGTTTCCAAAAAACATACAAAACCAAAGGGTTTCGCAACACCGATTTGCTAAAAAAACTTCCGCGCGAGCTCTTGCGAAATCTTAAGAGAACCACAGGTTTTTCAAGATTTTCACAACATGCTATTAAACGGGCTTCGCGCGCGCATGCCGAAATCTGTCGAACGCCCTTGCGCGTGTGCCGTCGCGAAAATCCTCTGCAAAAGCTGCGACGAAATGAACGCGCGCGTCGTCGCGCGCGTATGCCGAAATCCTTCGAAACCCATCGGTTTCGGAAGGATTTCAAAATCGCGCGTCCAAAAAACCTACAAAAACACAAGGTTTCGCAACACGGATTTTCAACAAAAGCGTGCGCGCACGCTCTTGCGTCGTCGTCGTCGTCGTCGCCTACGTCGTCCTCTGTCTTTCCTCGTGTTCGTCGTCGTCGTCCTCGTTGGCGTCGTGGTCGTTTCCGTCGTTGTCGTCGTTGTCGCCGTCGTCGTCCTCCCTCCTCCCTCGTCGTCGTCTTCGTTGGCGACGTCGTTGTCGTCGTCGTCGTCGTCGTTGTCTTCGTCGTCGTCGTCGTCGGCGTCGTCGTCGTCGGCGTCGTCGTCGTCGTTGTCATCGTCGTCGTCGTCGTCGGCGTCGTCGTCGTCGTCGGTGTCGTCGTCGTCGTGGTCGCTGTCGTCGTCGAAGTCGTTGGAGACGTCGTCGGTGTCGTCGTCGTCGGTGTCGGCGACGCCGTCGTCGTCGTCGTCGCTGTCGTCGTCGGTGTCGTGGCCAAGTGCCATCTGGTACCCACCGTCACGGTCTTGTCTCAAGACGTTTTGCGACCAAGTTGCGGGTGGGAGGGTGGGATGTTTGCACGAGCAGTGGAGAGGACAGCTTCAAGACGGTCAAAGTGAATTCTCTTTTCTAAAAAGAGAATAGACTCTACCCCCCCCCGGCGTTATCGGTCCCCCTTTCGGGTATGTAAATCACATATGATTCTGACCACATGTCCATCCTAAATATGAAATCGCAATGTCCCAGGCCAACCGGTATCCCCCCCCTGATGTTCCCTGGTAAAAAAACAGTATGCGGTGACATTTGTTGCTCTAACATAGCACTTTTTCACAAATCCCTTGGAAAACATACGACGAAGTGCACACGCGCGCGTCGTCGCGCGCGCATGCCGATATCCTTCAAAAATCTCCGGTGCCCGGTGCCGGAAGGATTTCGCAATCGAGCTTCCAAAAAGATCACCTAGCCGAGACTGTAGGAAAAGTATTCACAATAATTCCCACGGCGGCGACGAAAACACATAAAACACGATGCGGGGGGGTCCCCAAATCTGGTGGCCAACGCCCTGGACATGATGTAAATGTTACAAACAAACTGGCGGCGGCCGCGCGCAAACGCCAATGCGACAAAATTAAAGCGACGGCGACGGACTCTGCGCGCACTACGTGCACTACGTGATATGAACATATTCCATGATGCGTGCGTTCTTATCATGGCTACTTCTGATTTGAAAACCGTTCAACCGCGAAATACGAGCATGAAACCGAAGCCGCAATACAATTCAACATTCTCCTCCGTTCTCTTATCCGAAAACGCCCGCAGTCGCGTCCAAAACCGAACGAAACCTTCGACCCACGCGCGCACACCCAAAACATAACGAAACATGTTTCCAAATTCTTTCCGGAAGTATCCCGCTTCGGCGTCGCTTGACCCCCTGGGCCCGAACTCTCAATTACAAAAAAAGTAGCAGCGCGACCGCGACAAATTACACAACATAATGTTGCTTAAAACCCCCCGGGCCCGAACCCTCCACACAGAGAGAACAAGCGAGCAACCGCACCGAATTGCACAATAGAATTATGCTTCGAGCCCCGAACCCCCCGCACGAAAGCAGCAAGCGCGCTGCCGCGACGAGGCCTCTGGCCCACGACCCAGGAGCGGTGGCGGGGTGGGCTGAAGACAAATATACAAACAACCGGTGCAAACTCGCGGCGGCGGCGGCCGTCCCGAACACTAGGTACTCTGTGCAAAAAAACGGACTCGGCGACGGCGGCCCGCCCAGAGACTGGGGGGCGTAGAAGCTCAGTAGACCTGGTGATCCAAAAAGAACATTCAAAAACAAAGGGTTTCGCAACACCGATTTGCTAAAAAAAAATCCGCGCGAGCTCTTGCGAAATCTTAAGAAAACCACAGGTTTTTCAAGATTTTCACAACATGCTATTAAACGGGCTTCGCGCGCGCGCATGCCGAAATCTGTCGAACGCCCTTGCGCGTGTGCCGTCGCGAAAATCCTCTGCAAAAAATGGGACGAAGTGCAGACGCGCGCGTCGTCGCGCGCGTACGCCGAAATCCTTCAAAAGCCATCGGTTTCGGAAGGATTTCAAAATCGCGCGTCCAAAAAACCTACAGAAACACAAGGTTTCGCAACACGGATTTTCAAAAAAAGCATGTGAGCGCGCTCTTGCGGCGTCGTCGTCGTCGTCGTCGCCGTCCTCCCTCCTCCCGCGTCGTCGTCGTCGTTGTCGCCTACGTCGTCCTGTGCCTTTCCTCGTGTTCGTCGTCGTCGTCCTCTTTGGCGTCGTGGTCGTTTCCGTCGTCGTTGTCGCCGTGGTCATCCTCCCTCCTCCTCCCTCGTCGTCGTCGTGGTTGTCCGTCGTCGGCGTCTCGTCGTCGTCCCTCCTATTTCGTCGCCGTCGTCGTCGTCGTCGTCGTCGTCGTCGTCGTCGTTGTCGTCGTCGTCGTCTTCCCTCATCCCTCGTCGTTGTCGTCGTCGGAGTCGCCGTCCTTCCTCCTTCTTCGTCGTTCGCGTCGTCGCCGTCCTCCCTCCTCCCTCGTCGTTGTCGTCGCTGTCGTCGTTGTCGCCGTCGTCGTCCTCCCTCCTCCCTCGTCGTGCCTCCTCCTGTCCGGAGCTTCCCGACCTGTTCGTGCGGGAGCATCACCAGCTCCTTATCGCGAATGATGTTTCCTCGGAGCTTCAAGTCTCTGTACAGCTTGGTGGTCTCGTAGCTCTTGTACACCGCCTGGCAATCCGCGACAATCCACACCCTCGTTGCCGGCGTGGGTCCGGGATTTGGGCTTCGAGGAGCAAGTTCGCAGCGCGAAGCTCGCCGTCGCTCGGACGTCCATTCCCTGTTTTTGTTCCGGTCCCGTGCGTGCTTCTCTCGCCACAAATAATCTAGGCTGTTCCTCGATGGTCCTCGCCGAGAAAAAATGCACACGTCCGAGCGATGCCGGAAAAAAAGACACCTGAAGCCAGGCATTGACCGGATTCGGGTGTCTCCTTTTTTTCTTGACTCGAGGCGGAGGGACTCAAGGTGGAGGGATGCTGTGCAAACGGGATGGGTCGAGGAGCGAGGGCGGAAGCATGGCCCCCGGCCACGCCGCGCGGCGGTGGGCAGAGCAGGGCTTCGTGCGCCATCGCCACCGCCAACCCTGCCACGCAGCTCCATGCATGCCTCTGCCCTCTGCCCTACAGTTGGGGCGGCTGATTGGAGAGGACACGCGAGAGGACACAAGACCCCTCCGAGGGCGAGATTTGCCACAGGAATGTAGAAGGCGCGAAACACAGGACACAAGGGTACCCTTGATTTGGCAGAGTCGACTTACTAATCCACTTCGACTGTATGTGCTCGGCAGTCTGTTCACTTCGGAGCCGCATGTCCGAGCGCGATCCGCACCGCAACACGAGTGAAGAGAGTGGAAGGGAGCGTGGGAGGAGGGCTGGGCAATGGTGAGGTGGGAGGGAGGGTGGGATAGGGAGAGGGAGAGTGGGAGGAAGAGTGGGAGGAAGAGTGGGAGGAAGAGTGGGAGGAGGTGAATGGAGAGCGGGAGGGAGAGTGGGAGGAGGCGTGGCATGAACCTCTCCTTGTACTGCTGTCTTCCCCTCAAATCCGATATTTTTCATCGAGGGAGGCCTGCACTGTGACGAAGAGCCGCGGACTGTTCTTCACCAAGGATGTGAAAATGAACCTGCCAAGGGGACAGAACGGAGACTAGGTTCCAGAGAGCAGCAGGAAACTGATACAAAAAGGGAGTGTGGCACACAGTGGGCGCGCGACAACGGGTGTCACAAGACCTGCTGCAATCACAACATTGGTGGGGAACCCACGAAATCAAGGCGCGCGGAGTTGCCTTTGTCTGTCGCAGATGGGGCAACACAAGCAAACAACACAGCACGCACATCGTCTCCCAGAATTGCCAGAAGAATCATGCGAAAACGCTAAGGGCGCCTGTGAAACCCAAGGCGCATCAAAGCGAAGCACCATGACCAATTCGCCGGCCCATCGGGCCAACAGCAAATTGTATTTTGAAAATTGGTAAACTCAGGTTGTGTGGTTCTCGTCCTTGCGCGGAAGAGCATCCGTGGGAGGGTCGCCGCACTTACTGGGTCCCAAGTCGCGCCAAGAGCGGGCGAAAACCCACCAAGAGCGTGGGTCAAAACGTGTGAGGCCTCATGCTGACCTCAAGATGCTGTAAAGATGGCCCCGAGATGGCCCAAGATGGTCCAAGTTAGCCTCAGAGACACCAAGACGGCCCCAAACGGCCGAAGAACTTTTCATCGGAGGCTCCCAACATGGCAAGCAGCATCGAGTAACAAAGTGTGTGCTGCTGTTGTCGTTCCCTTCTCGTCTCCTCGTGCCCTACGGGCTTTTCGGGCCCAAGGTGGCCCCAGAAGGGCACCCAAACAGCCCGCAGAAGCCCCCAAATATGCCGAAGAGCGCGGGCCAGTGGTTGCCACACCGCAATTTGAACGTAAGGTTGGCCTCAAAGGCCAGAACAAGTGGCACGTGTGCCATGTGCCATAGCCCTTGCACAAAAGGAAGGGGGAGGAGGAGGAGGAGGAGGAGGAGGAGGAGGAGGAGGAGGAGGAGGAGGAGGAGGAGGAGGTGGAGGAGGGGGGAAGAGGGGGCAAGGCATCGCCCTCTGGGCCCAGCAACGGGGCCCAAATCCCAGGTGGGGAGGGTGGGGGAGGCGGCGTGCGTCGCGACGAAGAATAAAGTGCTCGGAGCGGAGGGAGCACGGGGCGGAGGTCCCACTGGGGCGCTGGGGGCGCGGAGAGGAGGGGGGGTGGTGTGTGCCGCGACGCGGAATAAACTGTCGGGGCGGAGGGGGCACTGGGCGGGGCTTGGGGCAGAGGGCCACGGGGCGGGGGTCCAACTGGGGCGCTGGGGAAAGGGGGGGAAGGGGGGGAGGTGGCGTGCGTCGCGACGCGGAGTAAAATTGTCGGGGCGGAGGGGGCACGGGGCGGAGTCCCCACTGGGGCGCTGGGGACGCGGGGAGGGAGGTGGGGGAGGTGGTGTGCGGCGCGACGCGGGATGAAGCGTTAGTGGCGGAAGGGGCAGTGGGCGGGGCCCCCGCTGGGGCGCTGGGGACGCGGGGGGGCTCGGGGCAGAGAACCACGGCGCGGGGGTCCCACTCTTGCCGCTGGGACGCGGAAAGGGGGGGGGGGGGGGGGGGGGCGACGCGTAATACACCCCTCGTGTCGGAGGGGGCAGTGGGCGGGGCCTCCGCTGGGGCGCTGGGGACGCGGTATGGCTTGGGGCAGAGAGCCACGGCGCGGAGGTCCCACACTGGCGCTGGGGACGCGGGGGGGGGGAGGTGCGACGCGGGATAAAGCGTTCGTGGCGGAGGGGGCAGTGGGCAGGGCCCCCGCTGGGGCGCTGGGGACTCGGTGGGCTCGGGGCAGAAAGCCACGGCGCGGGGGCCTCACACTGGCGCTGGGGACGCGGGGGGGCGGGGGGGGGCGACGCGGGATAAAGCGTTCGTGGCGGAGGGGGCAGTGGGCGGGGGCTCCGCTGGGGCGCTGGGGACGCGGGGGGGCTTGGGGCAGAGAGCCACGGCGCGAGGGTTCTATTCTGGCGCTGAGGACGCGGGGGGGAGGGTGCGACGCGAAATAACACAGTCGGAGCTATAGACACCCTGTGCAAGAGAATAAAGGTGTCGGGGGCAGGGGGCAGCGCGCTGGCTGGCGGCGGGGGAGAGGGAAGGAGGAGGGGGGGGGCGACGACGACGCCGAAATAAGTGTTCGGGGCGAAGGGGGCGGCGCGTTGGGGGCTGCTCGGAGAGGGGGAGTCGGGGGGGGGGGGGGGGGGGGGGCGACGCGACGCCGAAATAAGTGGACGGGGGGATGGGGCGGCGACGCTGGCTGCTGGGGAAAAGGACAGGGGGGGGCGACGACGACGCCGAAAAAAAGTCGTCGGGGCGGAGGGGGCAGCGCGCTGGGCTGCTGAGGAGAGGGAGAGGGGGGTGGGGGGGCGACGACGACGCCGAAATAAAGTCGTCGGGACGGAGGGGGCGGTGCGCTGGGGTGCTGGGGAGCGACACATAGCGACACATGTCGACACAACGCCGAAATAGGGCGACGGCGACGCCGAAATAAAGTGGTCGGGGCGGAGAGGGCGGTGCGCTGGGCTGCTGGGGAAAGCGACACATGACGCCGAAATAAAGTCGTCGGGGCGGAGGGGGCGGTGCGCTGGGGTGCTGGGGAGCGGCGCGTAGCGACACATGTCGACACAACGCCGATATAAAGTGGTCGGGGCGGAGGGGGCAGCGCGCTGGGCTGCTGAGGAGAGGGAGAGGGAGGGGGGGGCGACGACGACGCCGAAATAAAGTGGTCGGGGCGGAGGGGGCGGAAGATCTTGGTTTCCTCACTGAAGGTGGTGAGCTCGGTGCGTAGTTCACCCCCGCAGCTGGCATGCCCGGCGCCCCACGGAGGAGCACAAAAACCCCCCCCCCTCCCCTTGGAGGCTTCTTGGGCCATCTTGGAGCCGTCCTGGGCCTTCTTGGGGCTCTCTTGGAGGCCATCTGGGCCGCCGTGGAGGCGGGGGGGGGCGGCGCGGGGAGGGCGACAACGCCGAAAGAAAGCGGTCGGAGCGGAGGCGGCGGTGCGACGCCGAAGCGCACTGGGCAGCTGGGGAGGCGGAGGGAGCCGTGTAAGAAAAAAAAAAAACAACAAAAAGGGGCGGGAGGGGGCCGTGGGGGCGAGTGGGGGGTGGGGGTGGCGGCTACGTGCGACGCCGAAATAAAGTGGTCGGGGCGGAGGGGGCGGTGCGCTGGGCTGGGCTGCTGGGGAGAAGGGGAGGGGGGGGGCGACGACGACGCCGAAATAAAATGGTCGGGGCGAAGGGGGCGGCGCGCTGGGCTGCTGGGGAGAGGGGATGGGGGGGGGGGGCGACGACGACGCCGAAATAAAGTGGTCGGGGCGGAGGGGGCAGCGCGCTGGGCTGCTGAGGAGAAGGAGAAGGGGGGGGGCGACGACGACGCCGAAATAAAGTCGTCGGGGCGGAGGGGGCGGTGCGCTGGGGTGCTGGGGAGCGACACATAGCGACGCATGTCGACACAACGCCGAAATAAAGTGGTCGGGGCGGAGGGGGCAGCGCGCTGGGCTGCTGAGGAGAAGGAGAGGGGGGGGGGGGGGGCGACGACGACGCCGAAATAAAGTCGTCGGGGCGGAGGGGGCGGTGCGCTGGGCTGGGGCTGCTGGGGAGAAGGGGAGCGGGGGGGGGCGACGACGACGCCGAAATAAAGTGGTCGGGGCGAAGGGGGCGGCGCGCTGGGCTGCTGGGGAGAGGGGGATGGGGGGGGGGGAAGGGCGACGACGACGCCGAAATAAAGTGGTCGGGGCGCAGGGGGCAGCGCGCTGGGCTGCTGAGGAGAGGGAAAAGGGGGGGGGGACGACGACGCCGAAATAAAGTCGTCGGGGCGGAGGGGGCGGTGCGCTGGGCTGGGCTGCTGGGGAGAAGGGGAGGGGGGGGTGGGACGACGACGCCGAAATAAAGTGTCGGGGCGAAGGGGGCGGCGCGCTGGGCTGCTGGGGGAGAGGGTGAGGGGGGGGCGACGACGACGCCGAAATAAAGTGGTCGGGGCGGAGGGGGCAGCGCGCTGGGCTGCTGAGGAGAGGGAGAGGGGGGGGGGCGACGACGACGCCGAAATAAAGTCGTCGGGGCGGAGGGGGCGGTGCGCTGGGGTGCTGGGGAGCGACACGTAGCGACACATGTCGACACAACGCCGAAATAAAGTGGTCGGGGCGGAGGGGGCAGCGCGCTGGGCTGCTGAGGAGAGGGAGAGGGGGGGGGGCGACGACGACGCCGAAATAAAGCCGTCGGGGCGGAGGGGGCGGTGCGCTGGGCTGGGCTGCTGGGGAGAAGGGGAGGGGGGGGGCGACGACGACGCCGAAATAAAGTGGTCGGGCGAAGGGGGCGGCGCGCTGGGCTGCTGGGGAGAAGGGAGGGGGGGGGGGCGACGACGACGCCGAAATAAAGTGATCGGGGCGGAGGGGGCAGCGCGCTGGGCTGCTGAGGAGAGGGGGGAGGGGGGGCGACGACGACGCCGAAATAAAGTCGTCGGCAACGCCGAAATAAAGTGGCCGGGGCGGAGGGGGCAGCGCGCTGGGCTGCTGAGGAGAAGGAGAGGGGGGGGAGCGACGACGACGCCGAAATAAAGCCGTCGGGGCGGAGGGGGCGGTGCGCTGGGGTGCTGGGGAGCGACACATAGCGACACATGTCGACACATATCGACATATAGAGACATGTATCGACACACACACGCACACATATCGACGCATAGCGACACACAGCGACACATAGCGACGCACACATGGAGACGCATAGCGACACACAGCGACACAGACACATATAGCGACACATATAACGGCACATGAAGGGCACAAGGCACACAGCGACACATATAGCGACACATGAAGGGCACAAGGCAGCTGGGGGGGAGCGACGACGACGCCGAAATAAAGTGGTCGGAGCTCTAGACACCCTGTGCAAGAGTATATTCCACCAATATGCCTCCACTGGCCCAAGCGGGTCCCAGGCAGCCAAAGTGCGGGCAAACATTACCCAAAATGGCAGAGGGAACCTCTCCTCGGAGACCCCCAATCAATCAGAAGCATGGACAACCTGCAATGGCCGATGATCATGCCGTTCTCGCCCTTGCTGGCTCCAACGGGCTTCCCGAGCCTGGAGGTAGCCCCAAGAAGCCCCAAACGAGCTTCAAGTGGGCCCCAAGCTCCCACGGGAGGGCCCAACGATGGCTCCATGAGGACCCCAAGAGTGTCTAAGAGCGGAGACCAATGGACGGCAGGCCTTGGGATGACCAGAGCATGGCCCTGAGCCATCTCCAGGAGGCCCCAACCCTGCCTGCATGTGGCGCAAAATTGTCCTAGGCAACACCCCCAAGGGGCCCCAAGAAACGCCCTTGACGCCGCCAGGGAACTAAATGAAACCTCTCAGAGACCCCGAGCGTCACCCATAATACTCCGACAGTCCACGAAGGTTCTTTTTAAATTGCCTGCTCGTGTTTTCGGGCTGCGATGCCGAAACTTGACAAGGAAGGCGTTCCGTTGAATGCTGCACTCAATATGCCAAGCGACCGGTTCCCCCCCACGCGAGCTTCACACAGCAGCTTGAAGGAAACCACCACGACCTAGCAACTTCTCAAGGCTCACACACAAACGCGCGCACACACTCAACAAACACACACAAACACACACCTAAACACACATGCACACACACACACACACGAACACACACACACACACACGCACACACGCACACACGCACACACGCACACGCACACACGCATCCACGCACTCACGCACACGCACACACGCACACACACGCACACACACGCACACACACACACACACCACACGCACACACTTGTTTGTTTTTTTTAGTCGGCGGCGAAGAGGAGCCTCAGGCGCGGTCGGCAGGTGGAGGGGCACACACACACAAGCACACGCACGCACGCACGCACGACACCACACAAACACACAAACACACACACAGACGCACACGCACACGCACACGCACACACACACACACACACACACACACACACGCACACGCACACGCACACGCACACGCACGCACGCACGCACCTACGCACACACGCACGCACCCACGCACCCACGCACGCACAAACACACACACAAACACACACGCGCACACACACACACACACACACACACACACACACACGCGCACACGCACACGCACATGCACACGCACACGCACACTTGAGCAGGGACCGACCGTCCCGGCATTCCTGTAGTCATACCACGAAATGTTCTTAGAACCCAAAAATGTTCTAAGAACAGAAGCAGTGTTCTTAGAACATAAACCCGATGTGCTAAAACAAGACAGTCCCAGCCAGAAATGGTCTAAGAACATCTCGTGGCAACCACAAACGGTTCTTAGAACATTGTTTGGTAGGGCTATAGGCGAGCCAGGACGCTTCGCCACTGCTTGACACACGCACACACGCTCACGCACACGCGCACGCACACGCATAGGCACACACGCAAGCACAAGCGCAAGCACAAGCAGAAGCAGAAGCACAATCACAAGCACAACACACACTCAAAACACTAACACAAACACAAACACAAACACACACACAAACACAAACACAAACACACCCACAAACACGAGCACAAGCACAAGCACAAAACACAAACACACACAAACAAGAACAAGCACAAACACAAGCACAAACACAAGCACAATCACATACACACACTCACACACGCAAACACACACGCGCGAGCACACACTGTTTTGTTCTGCGTGTCTGCATTCTTTCCTTTTCGGCCTATCTAGCCTCCAGGACGCTACATGAGCTCACAAGAGGCCTGGTGCCCCTGGAGGGCATCCTGGGTCTCACAGATAATTCAAGGTAGCCCAAGCTGGCTCCCAAGACTGCCCCATGACGGCCCGAAAACTGCCACGGCGTCTAAAAGATCGCCAGAGACGGCCCGAACACCATCCTGAAGGGTCCCAAGACTGGAGGAGGAGGAGGAAGAAGAGGAGGGGGAGGAGGAGGGGGAGGAGGAGGAGGAGGAGGAAGAGGACGAGGAGGAGGTAGAGGAGGAGGAGAGGAGGAGGGGAGGAGGAGAAGGAGGAAGAGGAGGAGGAGGTAGTGGAGGAGGAGAGGAGGAGGAAGGAGGAGGAGGAGGAGGAGGAGGAGGAGGAGGAGGAGGCGGAGGAGCAGGAGGAGGAGGAGGACGAGGAGGAGGAGGGGCCAAGGTTACCCCAAAAAGACCTCACGAGAGACGCCTCGAGTCGGCGCTTAGTGGCCCAAGGGTCCGGCCAGGCGACTGTCGAGACCCACGCCCCCGCGAGCGCTCCCTGGTTCGGAGATCTGCGTGCCAAAATTTCCCCGTGGGGCCGCCGTGGCTCCCGCGCTGCGGGTTTTGACATCACCGCATCGCCTTCCATCGCGTTGGATTGCGCACCCCTGTCCTGCACTGATTAGTGCACGTTTTCTCATTCGGCGCTTCGACATTGGGCGGAAAGAGGGGGGAAGGGGGGGGGTCTGGCTCCGGACCTCTGCTTAACGCGGCTGTTTGCAACCGTGCGTCCTTTGGGGGAGCCTCCGCCTGCTCGAAACAGGCGCCCCAAAATAGCCAAAAGCCAGTCCAGGGGGGGGTGGGAGGGGGGGTTGCGAGGGCCCGCGCCCTTCGGCAAAAAAACGAGTAAGAAAACGATCACTAAGTTGCGACAAATGTTTCAAAGACGTGACGCTGATTATCGCTCATGTGCACGGCATTACCACACGCATGCGCGCACGCATGTCATGTGCAGAAGTGCCTGTGCCGCTACTGAACTCGCCTTCTGTTGATACCTCCCCTCCCTTCATGTCAGCAGCCCTCTCCGTCCAATCGGACAGTCTCCCCGTCTACGGACCTCCGCTGCTCCTACTACTTCCCTTGGGCATTCAAAAAAGACGCCAGGTCTGAACTCGAAGCGAGAGTTGTTGAAGCGCGTCATCACGAACAGGGCCTGGACGGGGTTGAGATGCAGACGCCAGGCCGCAGGCTGGACACAGAAGCTAAGGCTTACCAAATGGGAGACGTGCCACGTGTCGCCAAAGGGCAGGCCAGCGGGCCAAGAAAGCTGAGCCAAACTGGCCAACGCCTGATGTCCTCTCCTCAGCCTCCCCCTCCTGCACCTCCTTGCCCTCCTCATCCCCCCCCCCTCCAGAAGCCATAAAGGGCGAGAAAGCCCAAGGAAGGAATCCCGACATGACGCAGCAGGCCCCTGCTGGTCGACAAAGAGTACTTAGGGGAAGATGCTGCGAGCCTCATGCGGGCCTGATGCCAACTGACAACGGCGCAAATCTACCTTAAGGGCTCCCGACTTCCATACTGAAGATTTACACATCGAACTAGGAATACGCTTAAGTACCAGCAGTGTGGAGACAATGCTGACCCTTCGAGCAGGTCGCTACGCTGCATGCCATCACAAGGCAACCAACACACGAAGGCCGACACACCATGCCAACTCACAGTATTCGATTCGACAATGGTTCGAGCAGTCAACGCTGCAAACGAGCAATGCTTGCATAGTGTTACGCCGAAGTCCGCCCGGGTGACCGGAGCTGATGGTGAACCCCCCTAAAAGGATAATATGCGAACCACATGCCGACGAGTACCATCAACAGGGAAGTAGAAAGAGGAGGACGAGGAGAAGGAGGAGGAGGAGCGAATATTGCAGGACTCGGTGGGACATGCTGGCAGTCTATATGCAACTACCCTTTGAGAGCCCGAGCCAGCATGCGACGGCACGATACCTACAGCTCTTCCTTCATGTCCTTCATTTCCTTTTCTAGGTCACCAGGCTTGTACATCTTCATATTCTCCATGCCAGGCATGCCCTTCATACTATCAAGGAGAGAATTAATCTCCGCATCTTTGTCCTCCTCAAACTTCTCATCCTTCCACTCCTCCAACTGTTTAATGCTTTTAGCGCTACATGGCTTGTCACAAATCTTATTCTGCATCTTCGCGAGCCCAGCAGATTCCCGAAGCATAGACACTATGGACTCCTCTTTGCCATCGATGGCAGTGTAGCATGCTACTTGCAACATTCTGCACTCCTCGTTGCATTTGCCGACCTTGTCCTGCTTCACGATTGACAACTGCGCGTCTGGCTTGTCTCGCGAAATATCTAGCTTCAGAAGCCATTTGCCCTCGTTCTTTTTAGGGAGACACATGTACTCAATATAATCCGTAAGTGAATCTTCGTCGTCGATCTGAGTTTCCTTGACATGATTCCTGACCTCCTTCATGGCCATCTTGCATACCGCACACTGAACATGTGATATGATAGCCTTGGCAGGGTACGACGCTGCGTGACCAGTAGAGACGCCTGCACTCAAATACATGACAAACCTGCCCACTCGTTTTGCAACAGCCATCGGGGCGACAACACCAACGGGGCCGATCGATCTGGAATCGCAGCGACCCGAGACACGCCTTGACCCTGGCTTGAGCCAGCATGGCTCCGGACATTATGGGACAAGTTTAGGTCGGGCATGTCCTCCTGGAGACGGATTTTGGAGGACCAAAAAGGAGTAGTCACACGAATTCCCAACAATGGTCAAAAAGTCGTGCCCTGACAATTACTTGACTATGTTTGAATATTCCTCCTGTAAATGCCCGACCTACGACAAGTTGTTGTTGCCTGCGGTTTGAGCTCGCTCGCCTAGAAAGCAGGGGCCCAGCCTTCAAGACCAAATCATACTTTGAGGGATGATCTGGTACCCATCGGTCGGAAGAAGTGGGCAGAAACATTAAGTGTCCGTCCGCCCCCTAGGGAGGACGAAAACAGGTGAGGCCACTCGATCATATAAGTAGGAAGGCGCTTAAAATAGATTGGGATCTGGGACTCCAAAAATACCGACCTTCAACGACCGATGGGTATCTGTACGGCAGCAGGTGTTTGGAAAGACACGCGCCCAGCTTTGGGGGGTCCCTGGGCACGACGCACGGGATTGCACCAGTGCCGCACGCCCTCAGGCACTCACCGAATATAGGATGCCAAATGGATTTTCTCAGGAACGGGGGGATGGGCCGAAGGATGCAGAGCAGACCCAGGACAGAAGAGCATCCTTCAAGAATATGAGACCCTCCGCGGCCAAAACAACCCAAACCATAAGATCACTCGAGTGCCCTCCGCCAGGATGCCCAAGGGCAGTCAACAGACACGAAGAGCATCACGGCACCCTGCCCGAACCGACCTCTATCTCAGACCTCGGTCCGACCGCGAGGAGGCGGGGAGGGAGGTGAGGAGACAAAGGTATTGGTGGGGAGACAAACGCATTGCCAGATCAAGCGCGCTTCCCTGAAGAGTGCCGCGCCCTTGGCCGTACCCTGCGCGGGCAATATGGACTTTGCCCCACCGAAGCGCGACTAGCTTCAACGGAATGTGCCGTCCCCTCTCCCACATGTCCTCATCCTCATCCTCACTCATCCCCCAGCTCGCCTTCCCCCTTCTGCGGTGGGAATGCACGAGGAGGACGAGGAGGAGGAGGAGGTGGAGGAGGAAGAGGCGGAGGAAGAGGGGGACAGGAGGAGGCCCAATCCATGGCTTGACCCCGAACTTTTTTTTAGCCGATTTGGGCCGACTCGTTCCGAATCGCGGAGCGCCCCGTGGCCCGAGGACCTGAATCGAACGCCCTCTTCCGCGTCGGCCCATCGACGCACCGGGATCTCCGAAAGACATCCACTGCAATTCTCGCGGAGGAGGACAGGAGAGGCAGATGAGGAGAAGGCGGAGGAGGAGCAGGAGGAAGAGGAGGAGGAGGAGAAGGAAAGGGAGGCGGAAGCGGAGGAGGAGGAGGAGGAGAAGTTGATTTGACACGTCGCATCGCAGAGGCTAGGACCAGCAGCGACAAGGGAAAGTCTCCAGCGAACCCGACCCCGAAGGGGAAGGGCTCCCCAGAGCCTAACCCTCCACGCCATCAGTCGAAGCCAAGGAACCACCACTGTCCATTGCACTGGTTAAATCGGCAAGAGGCACCAGCTCGTCAACCGGTATATCCCCTTTCAGGTGGTTGGGATGGATGCATCTATGAATGCATCTATGGATGCCACCCACGAACAAGCGCCCCCAGAAGAATCAGGAAACATGCGGGGACTCTTTTGTCGCACCCCTGTGGTTCACCTGCCGACGCAGGAGGGGTGAGCTGCTGTAGTTCACCTGCCGATGCAGGAGCAGCTTTCGAGACATGTCCGAAAGCGCCCCGATGCGCACCCCTAACCGTCCCAGCGGCAGTCCCTCGCGCGGCGCACACGGCGTGGCGGAAGGGGGGGAGGGAACCGTGCCAGCCGCCATGGTTCACCCGACAAGCGGGGGCGGCGCAACGACGTGCCCGAAAGCGACATGGCCGTCAAAACCGGCCAGGCCGAGGGAGGGCCGCGCCCACGCGGCGCGTGCAGGCCCGACTCAGGTCTCCACAAGCCTCGGCGCCCTTGCCTTGGAGGCAGGACATGCCCAGCGGTTGGACGGTGTCCAGGACGGAGCTCTCGAGCTCGGCGAGCTCGGTGCCGGGTTTCACTTCGAACTCCTTCGTCCGGCAGTTGATATTGTCAAGATCTGCTGTGAGCTCGGCCTTCTGCTCCTCCAAGTAGTGCATGACCTTGTAAAGGTATGTCTGGGTGGCGGCTTTCTGCGTCGTCATCTCTTCGCGGATCAGCTCGAGATCTTCGATGGTCACCTTGCCGCTCAGCTGCATATTCGTGAAGCGGTTGATATTGTCCAGATCTGTCTTGTTTTTTTTGCCACATGCTCCTTCAGCCCGCCGTAGACCGAGTCGAGGTCTATCTGGATGGCGGCCGTCAGCAACTTCAGGTCGCTTTGGACCTGCTCAAGAAGCTGCCCCAGGATAGAGCTGTTGATGTTGTCAAGATCTGCTCCATGTGCGGCTCTTTCAACTCGCTGTGGACCGAGTCGGTCGTCTGCAACTTCAGCTCGGCGCGGACCTGCTCGAGAAGCTGTTCCATGCTGGGGCGGTCGAGATTGTCAAGGTCGGTCTTGTGCACGGCCATCTGCTCCACCAGCTCGCGGTAGACCTGGTCGCAGTCTGTCTTGGAGGCGGCCGTAAATATCTTCACCTCGTCATGTATCTGCCTGGGACCGTACTTGTGCACCATGTCGTTGGCTTTCTCATGGTGGCCCGCGAGCTTCTCAAGCTGGGACGCTCGCAGCATGAGCTCCTCCAGCGGCGGCTCCATGTTGGGACCCATGGGCACCAGCTTGCTCTCGCCGCTCTTGTTCTGGAGCTCCTCCATGGACTCCAGATTCTCTGGGACGGTCTCGCAGTTCCCGATGAAGAAGCTCTGGTCCTTCTTCGTGCTCATCTTGGCCTCGGGCGGCACCATGGGCATGAAGACCTTCATATCCCCAACGTTCACAGTGAGGCCGTCGAGGACTACCAACTCCATGTTTACATTGATACCGCTGCCCTCACCGTGCTATCACATTGCCGAAGTCTTCGCACAGGAGATGCCAGTGCACCAGCATCTGGACCTTCATCTTCAGGCAGGAAGTTTTACCAAACTCAGCAGGGCTGCCTCGCCTTCAGCACGAACACGTACTGCTCAAGCGGCAGGCTAGCGCAGCAGCGTGACGGCGCTTCAGCTTCAGCGCGAGGACGAGGGGCGGCGCGAGAGGCCCTGCGCCTGAGCCCCCCGTGGCTTGAGCGAAAATGGCTACGGAGGAGGAGCAGGAGGAGGAATAGGAGAAGGAGGAGGAGGAGGAGGAGCATAATGAGGAGGAGGGTAATGAGGAGAAGGAGGAGGAGGAGGGATGAGGGATGAGGGATGAGGAATGAGGAGGAGATGAAGAAGGTGAGATGAGGAGGAAAAGATGAAGGAGGAGGAAGAGGACAACAAAGAGGAGGAAAAGGAAGACCCCCCCCAGAGCGGTCCCCCCCTTTCCGGGCCGCGCCCGCCGTGCGAGATGGACCCCGCTCGACCCCTGTGCTTAGAGGCGTTCTGCCTGCACGGTTCTGGGGCCCGAAGAGAAACCGCGAGACCCTCCTCCTCCTCCTCCTCCTCCTCCTCCTCCTCCTCCTTTTCCCTCCTCCCTCCTCCCTCCTCCCTCGTCCCTCGTCTCTCCTCTCTCCTCCTTCCTCCCCTCCCCCTCCCTCCTCCTCCTCCCTCCTCCTCCTCCTCCTCCTCCTCCTCCTCCTCCTCCTCCTTTTCCTCGTCGTTTAGATGGTGGCCCCGCCACCACCAATGAGCACACACCACAGCCCGCCTCCCCCCCGCGAGAGTGAAAAGAAAGGTCCTGTGGGTGGCATGATCCTCCCACTCGAGCGCAGCAATCGCAACATCGTCGCGACCAATGGCGGAGGAGGCATTACTTGCAACATAATCTTGGAGTCCAACCCGCCGCTGGGTCTGGGAACCCCCTTGGAAACGACCACGTGTTCAGAGTCGAGTTCGGACATTGACGGCCCACACAGACCGACCCAACGAGTTAAACTGCTGACGACTTTGAACTGGCTTTTGAAACGCTCGCGGTGCTGGGCAGACACACGGGTGTATTCAGCAGCTTGCTTGGTGCGCGTACATGTTTGCAAGTTGGTTGCCAACATGTGCGCGGGTAGTGGTGTTCCCAGCTATGAGCTTCAGCCGAATGGTGTGTGCTTTAACTTCGTGCAAGCGCAACTAATCAAGGCCTCATCTGTCCTCGACCGCATGCCACACTAGCTTACAGATGTCTGCCCAGGCCGATTTGGCTGAGCAGCAAAAACCGACGCCCACGGGACCACATCCCCTTCAAAACGAAGTTGAAATCGGTCCAGAAAGAGGCATCAGGAAGATCCTGCCTTAGGTCCATGAGGAAAACCCAGATGCTGCCGCTCATGCGGCCACTGGTCACCGGAAACCACGCTGACAACATACGCAGCTCTTGTGTCTCGAGCATGTTGAGGCCACTCTTGGTAAAGAGGCCTGGAAGAAACCCTGGAGCATGGAGATGGTCGGCCACATTGGTCCACAACCAACTCTCGACAATCCGTTCAAGCGTGACCTTGACCAGGCGAGCGTTTCAACTGAAAACGACCTACAGCTGGATGGCTCCACTCGAGACCCGTCATCTGGATGCCTAGACGCATGCTGGTTGCGACGGATGCGTCGAAAAGGCCCTCGTATAGCTTGCCATGGGGAGCCGTGCTCCGAAAAGACCTGCCACGTTCCTGCAAGACCTTGCGCCCCCCCCCCCCCCCCCCCGAGGAACCCACCTGTCCCACAGAACGGAGGCGATCGAGGGGTTAGATGCGACGCTCCCTTCTCCTCCTCCTCCTCCTCCTCCTCCTCCTCCGACTCTCTCTCTCTTCTCCCTCCTCCTCCTCCTCCGCCTCCTCCTCCGCCTCCTCCTCCTCCGTCTCCTCCTCCTCCTCCTCCGCCTCGTCCTCCTCCTCCTCCTCCTCCTCCTCCTCATCTTCCTCCTCCTCCTTCTCCTCCTCCATCGAGCATCGGAGGTTCAGGAGCG